ACAATTTCCGAGGGATCGTACGAGCTGCAAGCGATACATGAATTTCTGAAACGTGAACTTTCCCGAAAACATAATGCTGTTAGCGATAAAGGTGTCGACGATGAAGATTACCCAATCGTGCTCCGCGCTAATTACAATACGATGAGAAGCAAGATCAAGTATGCCTACAGAGTAAACTTTAGCATGCCCAACAACATTGGATTGCTGCTGGGATTCTCGAATCGTATACTGCAACCGCGAAAATGGCACAAATCGAACATGGTGATTAATATTATCAACGTGAACATTATCCGCATAAAGTGTAACGTGACCGCGGGTGCATACAGCAACGATAAACTCGTTCACACGATACACGAATTTTCACCGAGGGTACCACCAGGATATAAGGTATCAGAAACGCCGGCGCAGATCATTTACCTGCCGGTCTTCGTACGAAGCATTACTGATTTAGTGTTACGCGTTGCTGACCAGGAGGGACGATTGCTTGATTTTCGAGGTGAAAAGATAACAGTTAGATTGCACGTACGACGGCGGGCCACCCTCGTGCGACGGGATGCTCGTGTTGAATAAAGACACGAAAAACACAATCAGACCAGCAGCAACATCATTCGCTAATATCAAATCAACCGCAAAGAAGAGACTCACCTCGTCAAACGTTGCGTTTTTACAATTTTTGGGATTTGCGGTGCGCGCCATCTGAACAATGACTGAGATTCTCAACATCGAGGAAGAGCCAGTCTTTCACGATCGCATCGTCAAGATTGAGACTCACACATACAACCCGTTTGCCAACACAACATTTGGATACAGCGACGAGATAAGAATACCCATACAACAACAGGATTTATATACGTTGCCGTATGAGATTTTTCTCTACATCGAGGGTGAACTGCGGATAACTCATCCAGTTAAGGGATCCAATGTGATGCTGGGAAATAATTGCGTCGCATTCATGTTTGACGAAATTCGCTATAAGCTCGATGGTGTGGAGATTGATCGCAACAGGAATGTGGGAATAACATGTCTGCTGAAAAACTATGTAACAATGTCATTCGATAGAAGCGTGATTATGCGAAATGCAGGCTGGCATAGCCCGACTACTGTGAATGGATACTTTAATTTTTGTGTGCCGCTGCATATGTTGCTGGGATTTTGCGAGGATTACAAACGCGTGATTATTAATGCGCGTCATGAGTTGATCCTAATACGAGCGCGCAACGACAATAATTGTCTGTATGGAGATTCTGCACTGAAGCTTGCGATCAACATATTCAAGATACAATGGCGAATGCCACACGTATTGTTGAGCGAGATTAAGAAGCTGTCGATACTGCGCGCTTTGAAAAGCGGACGGTACCTCAGCATGGGTTTTCGCTCGTGGGATCTATACGAATTTCCGCTATTGCAGCGTACGACCAAGCATTCGTGGGCCATTAAGACCGCGACTCAACTGGAGAAGACGCGATATGTAATTTTTGCCCTGCAGACAGGGCGGAAAAACGTCATGTCTGAGGATAAGAGTCGATTCGACAACTGTAAATTAACCAACGTGAAACTCTATCTGAACTCGGAATGTTATTTGTACGACGATATGAATCTGGATTTCGATAGAAACAGATGGTCGATTCTGTATGACACGTATGCGCGTTTCTGCAAAAATTATTACGGATACGAGTATCTCGAGCCAAGCCTCACCGTCTCGTTATTTCTACGTTCCGGTCCGTTTGTGATTATTGATTGTTCTCGACAAAACAAATTGGTCAAGAGCGCAACGGTGGATGTGAGATTAAAGTTTGAGTGTAAGGAGAATATACCTAATAATATCACAGCATATTGTCTCATTATGCACGATCGCGTGATCCAGTACAACCCGTTGACCAATGTTGTGCGCAAAATCATCTAAAAATGTTTACACAACTACACGTGTAAGAGAGGGGAGGAGGATACATAATCATGATAATGCGAGATGTCTGAAGAGTATCGTAATACCTCTCGACTGACTCACATCAAAGAGATCATGTCCGCACCAACGTTTGTCGACCTGCAAGGATTTATCCTAAACAAATGATTTATCGTGAAGGAAGCGGCAATCCTGAGAAGAGGATATATCCTGTCGCACTATTTCTTCGCATGCCCTGTGCCATGGAGCGTGCTTATAAAGTTGGAAAGGCGCCAGGTCTCATGGATAATTCAGCATCATCACAGCTTGCATTGGGAGGATGGAAATGTTCCATACTGCATGGCTCAGCGCTTGATCACGGCAGCTATCATTGGCATAAATGAATAAGACGAAGAGGACGAGAAGTCCTCTCTCGTGTATGTAAAAGGACTCGAAAAGCGAGAATGGCTGGCCGAAATAGTGGACGATGCGAGCAGCAGTTTCATCATTGAGACCTTGGATGCCATATATGAAGATATGCCTGCATTAAATTAATTAGATCCCACATATACTCTACGGTGTAATAAACATGTAAAAAATTGCGCGTTACAAAATGTATTTAAATTATTTAATTGTTGGTCGGCCGCAGAATCCAGGCTTGGATTAGACGATCATCCGTTTTTTTGAATAAACATATTGTTTACATACTATTCTCTTTGTTATTTCCCTCATTAGATATTTCTAAGAAATCCCTTCTCCTAATATTTTAAAAAATTTTTTACGCAATCGTATTTCTAAGAATTTCTTTTACCCCCACTACTTTTAAATATTTGTTTTTTCCTCCAGATATATTTCTAAGAATCCCTTTCGCCTAATATTTTAAAAATGATCGTTACTCGATTATTAGTACTTTTTATACGATCAGTCTCTCGTCGACTGTTCTGACTGACGGTTCACTTTTTTAATACCTTCGGTTCAAAGAAGCAGCATGAATTACTACATGCCGAGACATGATGAAACGTACGAGAAGAAATGCGACGAGTAAGTATAACTTTTTTATATTTTATATATTTTATATATTTTATATTTTGTATTATATACTTTTATCTTTTTTATATTTTTTACGAGTTATAATTTTTATCTAATTTTTACAGCGTTTCGCTGGAGCCTCGTGCGGTTCGTATACTTGGAAGACGATACGCATTGACGGCCACGTAATTCAAATTCTTCGAAATCGGCATCAGAGTGGATCCGCCGAGTTACGTGGAGATCGCCATAGGAGATCATCGAGGAAAACAGCTAATACTATCTCTCAAAACGTGGAAAGGACTCTACGAGCAACGTCACGCTATTCACAATTATCTGAACAATGACTCTTCCAGCAACGATGTGTATAATTTTATAAGTGTCGGGCCGCTAACAGTACGTTTTCACAAGATAAACGACACCAAGCTCATAAGTCTCGAATCGGCGGACGTGCGCATGATGATGGTCGAATCGACGTTACGTCGTATGTTCGACCTTGATTCATGCATCGAAATAATGTTCGATCGATTGACGAGGCTTATCGCAACGGTCGATATCAAATATACGCAATTCTCCAATATTGCATCCACTGTAACGAATGCGAGAGAATTGCCGAATGCGATACGCGCTAGCAACGCCTTCAACATGCACCAACTTGTCGATTGCGAGCTGGTGGCTTTAGTTTTTAATATGTAATAAAACTTTATATAATTATGTAGTAAATATATGACAAATAAATACTTATATGTATATATCATGGTGTACTTTATTTGCGCGCCACCCGTTACATACTTTGCGAGAGATAATTATCGTGTCAATGACATTGTCGTATCCAAGCCTGCTTTCAGCGAGAAAAAATCAATATTATTATCTTACGAGATAAGACGGGCCGCATTCATGCGGCGGCAGAATCGATAATTTTATCTTACATGGCGCACGCGACATTAAGAGACAGAAGACGCACGCATTCAAGAGCGGGTGGGCGGCTCGGGCCGTCGACGAGAGAGGCACGGCGAGAGAGCCGGCGAAATAAGACGCGAAGGAGAAAAGAGAGTTTCTAAAATAATTTTTAATAATTTCTTTATATTGTCTTATAATTTAAAAGGAAACAAGAGGTAAGGAGGATATTAATTTATAAAATAGAAATTTAATAAAAAATACAAATATAAAAATATAAAAATAAAATTATATAAAATGTATTAAAATAAAAATATATAAAAGTATAATAGTATTGTTTTGTTTCTCGTTGGTAAAACCTTGTATAGAAGGTTCGCACGCCAAGGCGGTAGTTTTTGTTAATGGTCACTCGCGGATTCGTTTTAATATACTTTTATTCAAATCACAAATTATAACAAGAGTGTTAGAAACGAGGCGGACGATATTTCAACAAAAGGTGGATTGATCTATCTCGTCTCGTGGCTGGACGCTCAATAATGATCCGAAACACGTAGCCAAGGCGCGAAGCGAGAATTTTGGGGATTTGCGCAGGCAATTCGCGTCGAGCGAAGGAAAAGACAGGCGAGTAACACGTGGATCACATGTGTTTTTGACGTGTTGTCCCGCGTTGGCGCGAATAATTACTGAGATGTCGAATGATAATAAACGGAGAATTGAACGACCTATACTTTAGGATCAGGCTTATTCCTGAACATACCGCCCGCCTCGAATGTAGGCATTCGAAAAAGTACAAATGGTTTAACAATAATAAAAGACATAATGGAATAAACACTGTACAAAGAATATCAGTATCTCGTAGATACTTCAATAACAAAGAACGGGGTGTTAGCGCATATTAAGACGAGATTCCGCCCGCCATAACGGAATCTTTTACTTCTTCGGTATTAATCGCAACAGGCAAGAAGCATAGTTTCACGATCGGTCGTTTATATTCAGAACGGGAGGTTTTGACCGTGACAACGCGCGTCAGGCCATCTTCTCCTGGATGACAGGCGACAATTCGTCCAAGGTCCCAATGGCTGGGCGGAGCCAAGGGATTACGCACTAGGACTATTTGGCCAACTTTGGCAAGTCGCTGGATAACGCGCCATTTTGGGCGTTGTTGAAGAGAATGCAAGTAATCGCTTGACCAGGACCGCTAAAACTCTTCCGTCAGACGTTGAATCATTTGCCAACGCGACAATCGATTCTCGTTAAATTCAAGCACGCTTGGTTCGGTGGGAGCGAGAAGAGAGGTACCAATCAAGAAATGACCAGGCGTTAACGCGTGATAATCGTCAGGATTATCGGAGACGGGAGCGATCGGACGAGAGTTTAAGCAAGCTTCAATGCGACAAAGAAACGTAGTCATTTCTTCAAAAGTTAATGTATGGAGGCCGATGCAACGCTTTATGTGGTATTTGACGCTCTTGACACCGGCTTCCCACAGTCCGCCGAAATGTGGTGCGGCCGGGGGTAGGAACTGCCACGCGGTTCCATCGCTAGCGAGACGATTACGAAAGCTTGGATCGCGAATTGCTTTCGCGTGAGCTTCGGATAATTCTCGATTAGCGCCATGAAATGTTGTACCGTTGTCTGAGTACATGGACTACGGTAGTCCTCGGCGGGAGACAAATCGCTGGTACGCTGCAATAAAGGTCGGCGAGCTGTAATCGGAAACAAGTTCTAAATGCATAGCCTTGGTCGTTAAACATATGAACAGCGCAATGTAAGCCTTTTGCGATTTGTGTCCTCGGCCGGGCGCGGTTCGGACAGTGATTGGTCCAGCGTAATCAACGCCAGTATGTATAAATGCGCGAGCGGCACGGTTAACTCTCGCCTCCGGTAGATCGCCCATGAGTTCGACAGGTTTTTTAGCGCGCTCACGAGTGCATTGTACGCACTGATACAGAACAGCACGAACGGTAGCGCGAGATCGGAGGATCCAAAATTCATTACGTAATGAAGCGAGTGTTAATTGGGGACCAGCATGTAACGTTCTGAGATGATGATGCTGAATAATAAGAACTAGCAATGGATGTGCTCGTAATACGAGCGGATTCTTCGTCGTTTCTGAAAGGCAAGCATGACGGAGCCGTCCTCTGATGCGAAGAAGTCCGTCAGCGTCCAAATAAGGATTGAGTGTGGATAAGGAACTAGTTTTTTGTAACGGAAGTTGCCGTTGTAAAGTCGAGATTTCAACGGAAAACATCTCGGATTGCATAACTCGGAGCCAGTAATGTTTGGCTTTCTGGATCTCTTCGGGATGGAGGATCGCTTGTGAAGACGATGCGCTTTTAGAGGATCGGAGTCGATAAAGAAAACGGTAAAGATAAGCGGTAATTCGGAGCAATCGAGGCCACGAAGAATAACGTGATGCGAGATCCCAACTAGGGGTTACATGTAAAGAATGAATAGGTGGTTGAGAACGCTGTTCAAGGGCGGTCTCGGCTGGTATCGAGAGCTCGCAAGTCGGCCAGGATTCTGGAGATTGGCAAAGCCATGAAGGACCTGACCACCATAAATTATAATTTGCGAGAGCATGGGGAGCTAGACCGCGAGAAGCACAATCGGCAGGATTGTCCTGCGTTGGAACATGACGCCAAGAAACTTCAGGCAGCAAGGACTGAATGATCGAAACGCGATTGGCAACGAAAGTTTTCCATCGAGATGGAGACTGACTTAGCCAAGCGAGTGTGATGGTTGAGTCGGTCCAACAGTGACATTCGATACTCGGAAGTTGAAGAGCGGACCGCACATAATTAACTAACCGAGCGAGAAGGAGCGCCGCCGACAATTCCAATCGGGGAACGCTTATCGTCTTGAGGGGAGCCACTTTCGATTTTGCGATGAGAAGAGAGATGTTAATTGAGCCGTCGACATTAACAACGCGAAGGTAAACAACGGCTGCGAAAGCCATAGTTGAGGCATCGGAAAAGCCATGGAGTGCGCTGTGCAGAGTATGAGATCCGTGCGTCGTCCAACGCGGAATACTGAGCGTCTCGAGATGCGGTAGTTGGTGATGATAAGTTGCCCAGTGGTCGAAATGTTCACCCGGAATGTCGTCGTCCCACTGACATTGGATCGACCACAATCGTTGCATAAAGATCTTTGCACCGATGATGACGGGAGCGGCCCATCCCATCGGATCGAAAAACCCAGCGATTGTCGAGAGAATAGCTCTTTTCGTTTTTCCCGGCGAAGACGGGAGAGATACGCGAAGTTGAAACGCATCGAGCTTTGGATTCCAACTAACTCCTAACACTTTAAGGTGTTCATCGTCTTGGAGGACTTTGTGAGTGGCTAGTCCATGATCGGCAGGATCGAGATCTGACAAAAGATCTGGAGAATTACTTGCCCACTTTCGTAGGCGAAAGCCTCCTTTAGCGAGAAGCGCGATTAATTGGTCTCGTGTTTGCCGTGCAAGGATATGATCGTCGGCTCCGAACGCGCAATCATCAACGTATGTTTGATGACGTAGAACAGGGACGGCCAACGGAAATTGAGCACCGTCATCTTCAGCGAGTTGGTCTAGCACTCGAAGAGCGAGATACGGAGCGGCGGCAGTGCCGTACGTCACGGTAAGAAGACGGTAGTCGCGAACAGGTTCGCTGGGAGAAGAGCGCCATAGAATGCGCTGGTAATCAGTATCGCGGAAGTCAACTAAAATTTGACGATACATTTTGGCGATATCGGCGGTAAATACGTAACGATATTGGCGCCACTGCATTATGACAGCGGCCAAATCCTTTTGAAGTTTAGGTCCGATAAACATATTATCGTTTAACGAGGTTCCGTTAGTGGTACGGCAGGATGCATTAAAAACAACCCGCAGTCGAGTAGTTGCACTACTGTCACGTAAGACAGCATGATGCGGTATGTAATAACTTTGATCCGGTTGTACAATTTCTGTCGGTGGAATTTTGATCATATGACCAAGGTTTTCGTATTCCGTGAGAAAGTCGTGGTATTCTGAAGCGATAGATGGATTGCGTTTGAAACGTCGCTCTAAGCGATAGAGGCTCGATTTGGCAATGAAGCGAGATTCTCCTAACGAGAGTGGTGGTCCGGTTTTAAACGGTAATCTAACAATATAGCGTCCTTGAGGAGTGCGGGAATGGGTAGCGAGTAAGTGCTCTTCACACTTGCGCTCGTCAGGGCTATGGTGTTGGGTCTGAGGGACCTCTTCAGTCTCCCAGAAACGACGAAGGTCGAAATCTAAGGCTTCAAGGACGACTCCGTGATGCGCGGTCTCCGAAATCGAAAGATTGGTCGGGGACGAAGCGATTGGCCCGGACAAAATCCAACCGAGAGTAGTATTTTGCGCGGTGGGCTCCGTTTCGGAACCTTGTCGAACACCATCGAGTACGAGCATGCCGTATAAATCCGCTCCGATTATTATATCAATCGGGTCGGTACTCATGGGGTCACTATCCGCTAATTGGAGTCCGTCGACATGGTTCCACGTACCCGTCGTGCTTATTCGATTCGGTACATATTTTGTCAACGATCGAAGAATGAGTGCGGTCGTTGAATAAGCGGGTTCGTCGCGATTCGCCGGCGTAATTGTAAGATGAGCGGCGTGACGGACAACGGATTGCATCTCGCTGATGCCGGTGACGAACATTGAACGATTTATTTTAGAGAGTCGTAAACGTTGCGCGAGCGATTCGGTAATAAACGTAGAAACGGAACCTTGATCCAGAAGTGCGCGTGCAGTTATAAAACGTCCAACAGGCGAATAGACTCTCACCCGGGCAGTCGCAAGCAAAATATTAGAATTAGGCGCGACGGTTTTCGATAGTAAATGCGACATGACTTCGTTTACATTTGCGCTTGTTGCTGGCGGTGACTCCGTTTGCACCGGCGGAGTCGAGTTATCGAAATGTAATAACGTGTGATGACGTTTATTACACTGGCGGCATACGCGCGAATTCGAACAATCTTTGACGGAATGCTTACTACTAAAACAGTTTAAACATCGTTTTCGCTGCTTAATAAAATCGAAACGTTGAGAGGGTGTTTGCTTTAAAAATGTCGAACATTGGTATAATAAGTGATTGGCCTTGCACAACGGACATGCGAACGAAACGGTGGACGCGGTATGCGACACAAGAATTTTTCCTTTAGAGGTAGATGATGGTTTTTCTTTAGAAAGTGGTACGATCGCCTCGAGAGCGCGAATTCGAGACTCAAGAAATTGATCGAGCTCATTATAACGCTGATATTCCACCGTATCGCTGAGCTTGAGTTCCCAAGCTTTACGCGAGTATTTATCGAGTTTTTGTACGACGAGCAAAACAAGCAAATCATCCCAATGTTCGACAGGACGGTTGAGATTTCTAAGCGCTTGGATTGCTTTGTTTGTTTGGTCGCGAAGCTGACGAAGGTCATGAGCGGTTTCTGTGGTCAGTAACGGCAAATTTAACAGCGATTGTAAATGCGTTGTAACAAGACGACGTTTGTTGTCGTACCGAGAGACTAGAATTCTCCACGCGACGTCGAAATTATTATTGGTTACCGCGAGGTGGTCAAGCGCGTTACTTGCATCCCCTTTTACACATGAGCACAAATAATGTAAGCGATCGACATTTGATAAACTATGATCATTATGAATCATCGATTGGAATTTATCGCGAAAGCTTTCCCACTTGTCGATGCTCCCGTCGAAGGTCGGTAGGTTGATCCTCGGAAGATGCGACGCGGGTCGGAAAACATCATGCAAGCCACTTACGTTTTGTGATGATGTAGCGGGAGGGATGCGGGATTCGTAGCTCTCTAATACCTCAGCCATGTAGTCGGCAGCCTCGTTGTAGCAGTCCTCACATTCCAGAAACGAATTCTTTGTGAAGTAGGTATGCGATGCTTTGTCGTCATCGTCCGCATGAAGCCCGATTCGACTGTCGAGCTCCTGGCAAGTGGCAAAGGCTTCCTTCAAGGTGACGAGACGTTGACGTGTCACCGCAGGTGTCATTTTGGCTTGCCCCAGCTTCTTGTAATTGATGAGCGCCCGTGATACGAAACTCATCTTCTGTGTTTGCAGAGCCAAAAGCTCTTCGAAAGATGTCGAGGTGTTCATATCGACGATCGTGATTCGGAATGCCAATAATTGTCCTTGGCGACGATCCGGCTCGAAGGACCAAAATGTTTTGTTTCTCGTTGGTAAAACCTTGTATAGAAGGTTCGCACGCCAAGGCGGTAGTTTTTGTTAATGGTCACTCGCGGATTCGTTTTAATATACTTTTATTCAAATCACAAATTATAACAAGAGTGTTAGAAACGAGGCGGACGATATTTCAACAAAAGGTGGATTGATCTATCTCGTCTCGTGGCTGGACGCTCAATAATGATCCGAGACACGTAGCCAAGGCGCGAAGCGAGAATTTTGGGGATTTGCGCAGGCAATTCGCGTCGAGCGAAGGAAAAGACAGGCGAGTAACACGTAGATCACATGTGTTTTTGACGTGTTGTCCCGCGTTGGCGCGAATAATTACTGAGATGTCGAATGATAATAAACGGAGAATTGAACGACTTATACTTTAGGATCAGGCTTATTCCTGAACAAGTATAAAATAAAATTAATACAAATAAAATAAAATTATATAA